GACACACCAACACACTTCACACCTGCATTCCAAAAGTTAAAAACGGTTGAAGATAAAAACAACAAAGCATCCAGAGTAGAATGTTTAGGGCGAAAACCGAACTGTTTATTTACAAAAAAAGAGTGTTCAGAGAGATGAGAAAAAATAAAATTATAAATTAGAACTAAAATGGAACTAAAAATAGAAAGACATTTAAATACTGAGAATTATATCAATTGAGATGGTCGCATCTATTAGGGAAAAAACCTGAGGACAGTTATTTTCACTATCACAAAGATCTCAAAATAAGTATAACAAAGATTCAGTTCGATTTAAGATACGTTTACCGAAAAAATTTGATGATCAAACCTGAGTTCAATCGACAATAACGAAGAATTATCAAATTATGAAAGTAGCGCACGACATCACGCAAGTCTGCAGATATTCTACTTTTTTGTTTTGCTGAAGTCTTTTTTCCTTGTTTTTGGAAAAACGCGTTTAAAAGCGTTTTTATCTCATATAGAAATAAGTGCTAATAAACGGTATTTTTTAAAAACCCGTTTAAAAGCGTTTCTTTTCTGTTTGCTGTAAAAAGGTGACTACAGTAGTATATAAGGCGCCGCTAATTCAAAAATCAAGTGGAAAAGCTTTTGAATTCTCAAACACATATTCTGATTTATCAGACGCCACTGATCACCAATCTGACCTTATTTTTTCGATTTGACCGAGTTTTTATGCAGAAAACCTCAAAATACTGTGAAGGTGTCAAAAACCTCGAAAAACCGATTTTTTAGAAAAATCCCGATTATCTCTTGATCTTTTCAGTTTTCGATCTCACCGATGCGATTTTCGGATTCAGCATCACGAAGCACATCTAGGCACTTGTCATTCGATGACTTTTCTTCAAGACTTAAACTCCGGTAGCTGATCAAACGCTGATCGAGTTTTTCGAAAAATCCTTCAGATGATGAGCCCATAACTCAGTGATATTTCCACCTAGAGAACTGCTATTATGATTTTCTAGGTAAAAAGCAATGCTGAATACGTTAGAAATGTGTTTAAGAGATTTGGAGTTTTCCAAGTAGGTTTTGCAAAAAACCAGAACTCTGAGACACCTTCAAGAGCCTTTTAGAAATCTGTTTCGTTCCAAGCACATCGTATCGATAGAGCGTCAAATTCTGAGCAAAATGAGACGCCCTCGAGCCTTCTAGGGCATCTCTAGGCTGAGATACGGCCATTTTACTTTTAGAGATCCGGCTGACTCGAAATCCTTTAAGAGATTTGCCAATAACTCGGCCTAGAAAGACGCTGGGAAGCTCGGAAAGGTCTTATTTTGCTCAGAAATCGATGCGCATTGAGATGCGGTGCCTCACATGGGTAATGGGATTTCTAAAAGGCTCTTGAAGGTGTCTCAGAGTTCTGTTTTTTTGCAAAACCTACTTGGAAAACTCCAAATCTCTCAAACAATACGAAATATCACACATCGAATATCATATGTTCCTATTGGTTTGTCTTGACAAACGGGAGGCATTTACCGCCTTCTGAATTAGTTAAACTCAAAATGTCGTTAAAACAAAACTTGGGAATGTGGTCACAGATATGCCTCTCCCATTCAGAGAGACGTACAATATTGAAGATATCTAGTCACCGTCTTAATGTGTCTCGGGGCTTTATCGAAAAGAACTGCATTTCGCAAAGTCCATATTGTTTTAATGGAATTTCCAAGTTGGAAAATTCTATTTTTATGTTGTGCCGCAGTGAGATCATATCAAAGAATATTTGTACAGCTGAGGTGAATATGTAAAACGCATAGCTCCCGTTGGGGTGATTCTGTAATCATCGCTAAAATAAACGGTATATTCCAGTTTTCGTAAAGGCTAATTATCTTCATTATGATTAGTGTAGATAGGTAGATTTTTATGGGGTGATTCTGTAATCATGTGTACAACTATGGGGTGACTTTGTAATTCTCGTTGAGATGACTGCCAGAAACAGGTACCTTTAGAAACCTAATTCTTCAGATGTTTATGGACAACAATGAAAAGCTTTCCCCAGTATCAACAGATAAACTTTAAATCATTTGCAAGAAAAATCCCCCAAACTGAACTCGGTTAAGAGCCTGATCGCGGATAAAAAGCACATTCAATATCGTTACCGTCAATACCGTGCGGAGAAAAAACTTATGACAGATTTAATAATTAGTTTAGAATGAACATTGAATTTCTACTAGTGCATGGGTTATTTCAGATGAATCTGAAGAGGATATTCAGCTCTATCGCGTGATATGGACTAGATCGTAAACGGATAATATTTGACGGAGGTAGCTCAATTCAAAAAGCGACCGGTAAAATGTTTTTGTTTTCCAATTCCCCGCATGTTGCATCATGTTTTACTCGGACTTTTCTTCGAGAACATGATGCGATCACTTTTTGAAGTTTACATCGATCCTAAGATGCCTTCAGTACCCCACAATTTCTATCTAAACGTGTTAAAAGGCATTTTTACTGAAGAAATTATACGAATTCAAAGTGAATACAAAGCAATTGTGAAGGTATAGTCTCTGGTTTAAATCCTTCCGCGTATTCCTGTCGCCATGTTGAACTATCTTCTTTACTCAATTTCTAAACAGTAAATAGTGAGCTGTGATAACTTTAGTGGAAGAAATTTTCATCTCGGATGAAGTTTAATATTCCTTATTCAAAATATGGTTTCAAAATAAAGATGAGAGAAGCTGATGCCTTATGGTTCCAACGTGAGTCTTACCAATAAGGGTAACGTTTGCCGTATGTGAAGAAAACATTCACGCTTGGACTTTCAGAGAATGTGTATCGGCAAATACTGGACGCTAATATCAGTTCGTTGCTAGAGTCAATCTGTGAATGAGACAGAATAGCTTAGCCCCAATCCTCTCTGCGTCAAACAGGACTGAACTGATGCTCGCTATATCCTGAAAGTCACCAATGACAAAGCGATCTTACATCGAGGATACTCACGATTGTGATGACATCAGCCTTTGATGCATTTCTCACTTTAGTGCATTTTTATTCTGAGACCTTGCGAAGTTAACATATTTAACGAAGTTGTACATAATAGAAGTCTCTAGATCTCACACATTTTGTGAAAGTGAGCGCCTCGGTGTTTATCTGTTTTTTTATTTGATTTAACATAAACGTTTCATCCTATTCTACTGTAATTGAGTCATTTTTAGTTTATTAGCTGTTTTACTCTGTTGGTTGCGTTACCAATTATTACCAGTTATATCCACCAATAAAATCCGTTATATGGCGTGAGTCGCGTCGCGAAATAGCGATACGGTAGCCATCGTGATAAGAAAAAACTGTAATGAACTCTTAAGAATCGAATCGATGCAGAATTTAGTGTCCGGCCGGATCACGAATGTACAGCAATTGCGACGCGATTACATGTCGCACAGCGACTCTTAAAACAAGTTCTTTTTGAAAATAAGATTCGATCAAGATCACGAAATATCTATCAAGACCGCTGTAAGAGATCATAGCAATCGCGTGGCGACTTCGTGATTTTATAGCGATCACGCCGCGGCAGACGCGAATTCATAGCGATCGTGTCAGGAATGAGACGCGAACGTCGACTTGGAACCACTCCATTTCTGAAGAATCGTCTTAGTTGCCTTGACCGAGATAGGAACAGTAAGTTTTGGTTGAACTACGCCTAGTCCGAAATATTTCCCAGGTTCATCTGTCCCGACCCGGAAATATTTTCTAATCAGGACAGAGAAAAGGTCGAACTATACGCAATATTTTGTTTTTAACGTCACACATACCAAACTATAGCCTAATGTCCAGGATATTATAGATAATAAAGCTAGATCGCATACAGTATACTTAAAGCAGTGCACTAAGACGGAAAAAAACTTTGTCCTTTTTTTATTCTCTCTTGTTAGAATTTTCTTCAAGGTGATGCATTATGCGTGCTTCACTCCAGTTCTCTTTTCTTTAACACTTAAAACCAACGAACAAATTTTAAATCGTGACAAAAACAAATATTTTTATTTTGGCCGATTACTACATAGCAGGTGAATTTCTATTATATGGAAATTATCAGTTTGTGTGGTGTCTAAGTAACATATAGAATAGAAAAATGTCTTATGCTGAGTTACGTGTGCGATAGGGAAGTCTTTAAGTGATGAAGTAGTGGGATAGTAAACATTCCAAATTCGTGCAATTTCTAAAATTAAAGTGAAATCCATACATTTTACTAACTTTAATGGTAGAATATAGTCACCATAGAATACTAGAACAGTAGACCATCTTTAGACATGTAAAACTTCTGAAAAAGAAAGAGAAAACTGAGAGTGGTCCGACAAGGGTTCGAACTTGATGTGTACTTCGTCATGTTAACCATTCGCTAAACCGCTGAATCGTTTTTTGACGCTGATATAATAAGTATATGAATGAAGAAAAAGAGATGATCAGGATGAAAGTAGATATTACTCCATACTATTCTAGTATTGTACTGATAGACGCTGTTGCTTAACGACTACTGTATTACCAAATGTGACAGAGCAACATGCTGGTAGTAGTTTACCTCTATTAGAAGAGTAGAAATAATATGAGAAATGAACATTTCTGAACTTTAGAAATTCGTCCAGCCCTCGATTACTAACATCAGTAAAAGTGACGATTTTTCCACTTAAGTATCATTAACATAAAATTCTGGTAGTAATTAGATCTTTTTAAAGTTGTCTCAGCTGATAGATTCATTTTAATAAATAGTTTAGAACACAATAACATTCTTCCTTTAAGACAGATATTGTTTTGAAATTTTCATTTTAGTACTTCACCACTGACAAAATGGCCTCTTCTTCTTTATCGTCCAGTAGTAAATGTCAATCGAAAAAGCAGTGTAAAATGTCAGGAATTCTGCCATGTAAAGGCTGCCAGCGGAACTTCTGCCAAGGGCATATGAATGAACATCGACAAGAACTAGAAGGTGATTTCCAACGTTTATTAAGTGATCGAGATTTACTTTATCAACAAATATATTCCGAAACTCCAACTGATCCCCAAGCATTTGATTATATCTCAAAATGGGAAAGAAAAACTATTGAGAAGATAGAAATGATTGCTGATCAAGCTCGACGACAGGTGCAAGATCTGCTTGATGAGAAGAGACTTAAAGTAAAAGAGAAATATGATCAATTCTCGGCTGAACTTCGTCAAAGAAAAGAATCTAGTCACTTTTTCGAACAGGACATTGAAATATTGAGTAAGACACTTGAGCAAGTGAAACGTGATTGTGAACATAAGGCCACTTCGACTACGGTGACCGTTAAAGCTCGGACAATCGATTTTGATCACATTTTACACATAACGCTGAACGCGAAAACAAACAGCCATCAAAATCAGTTATTTATAGGTGGAACACTACTAGATGAAAAACAACATCAATCCAAACTGAATGAATTTTATGGAAACCAAAATCAACAATGGGAGTTGATTTACAAATCTACAAGAGATGGCTTTGCCGTCAGCGACTTCCATCGTCACTGCGACGGCAAAGGCCCAACGATGGTAGTTATCCAATCCAAAAACGGCGGCTATCTCTTTGGTGGCTACACAGCTGTCCCATGGAATTCAAATGACCAAAATGCAGCAGACCCATCAGCATTTATTTTCACTCTTACAAACCCAAACCATCTTCCAATAACAAAGTTTAGTATTAAACCGGCAGAAAGCAACTACGCTGTATGTCATCATAAACAGTATGGACCAATATTTGGTTATCATTATGGTGATCGTGATGATTATGATTATCGTCGTCGTGGTCTTCTTGATCTTCTTGGTGGTCTTGATCTTCTTGATCTTCGTCTTGATGATCTTTTTGATATTGCGGTGATCGAAGTAGACGGCATGTTGAACAGGAGTTTCATTGGGTTTCCTGTTTGCTACATTGATACACTAGGTCACAGGGAGAACACATTTACTGGAAGTGGTAGTTGTGAAGTTAACGAGATTGAAGTGTACAGTGTACAGTAAATGATTAGTTTTGGAAATTGATAAAGGTTCTTTTTTTTTAGAAGGCCAGAGTGTACGAAACAATGACAGTATCGTATGTCTTATTGGTTTTTTCCGTAAAGGTATATTCTAGGGTCATGCAAGCGAAATGTCTGTGCGTAAGCAGTATACAATCACTTTCCAGGCAAACGTTTTCTGGCAAAAAACGTGTTGATGTGCGTTAATTTCTTAGCCGTTCATCAGAATGCATTTTGACCGTTGAAATGCGTTTGTTTTCGTTGAAAATCAGTTAAAATGAAAAAAAAAACTCAGCATCGGATTAAATTCTGGTACATGTCTGAACGCACAGATATACATACAAACGACTATACAGCCCAGTAGAGCGACGAAATAAAGAAAACAACTTGTACTTACATAGCTTTAGTGTGATTCGAACGTATAGGTACCTAGAATTTTGAAGCAAATACATAACCAGCTGAGCTAACAGACGATCGAAGCATATACAGTAACAATGCTATGTCTTTCGATCATCTGAGGCAGACAAAAGACTGCTTTATTCTATGACTTCGAAGTTTCATTTACAAAGTAAACAAATCTTTTTACTCAGAATAAAGTAATGTTTCCCGTACTTAGATGAGAAAAAAGAGCACTTCGATTTTTGCTAAATGTCCTCCTGGATGCACATTAATAAGGTGGAAGTTGAGAAATTTCCAAATGAATGACACTGAGGAAAACATTTTCAGAAGGCACAAAACCGAAGATGACAAACTGTCGCTCGCGTGAGGGTGCAGCTGGCAATCCTGCAGATATCTTTCTTTAAAAAAGCCATACTCATGAGACTACCATTCAATATCAATCTGGGTCTTTAAAAAGCCGTAATGGTATGTAATATATATAATACAGAAAAAAGAATGTTCTCTTAACTCAATGTCACTACACATGTATAAATTAGTATTGGATACGTTTTTGTGTATAAATCTAAATTAACGAAGAGAATCTCGCCCTAACTGATAAAGAACAATATTACCTCAAAAAGTCAGAAAGTGAAGCACTTTAGAAGTTGAAATATACTACACTTTTTGCAAAAGATAGTTTATCTATATATAAACAAAAGTTAAATGAACTAGTACTCCTTGTTGTTTCGCGCCATAGTTAATTAATGAGACGCACTTAATTAGTGCATTTAGCGCCGTTTTAAGTCAGTATAAACTAGATCAGTGAATTACTCTCTCCTTTCTCGTAAAACGCTTACTCTGTGTGGACTAATGTTACACCATGTTTGACCACACCGATTTTATACAACGCATTTGCGTGACAGTTACGCTAGGAAAAAAGTCACTTAAAAATCACTTACCCGAGTACTTTTTGAGTAATCATTAAAAAAATGTCAAATATGGGTACTACTCGTACTCACCCATCTCTGTTAGAACTAATGAAAAAAATGATCATTAGGCAAGTAGCGAACTACTAATAACGACAATAAATGATCAAGACAACAATAGAGAACACGACATGAACAAAAGAGTCTCTGAGGTAAATTTCATGAATGAGGGATTAACAATATGTCCGGGATGAACATTTTTGTGAGTACGAAAACGTACAATTCTTTTTCAGAAAAAAAAGTTATTGGCTATCTCATCCGCCATGACGTCACATTATCAACATATAGTGAGATAATATTATATTTATCTTTATCCCACCTCTCATGTACCTATAAAATAAATCATCTTTTCACTCTTTTTTCATAGCACGTATCAAATTATCGTTATTCTATTCCATTTATAAACAACTGTTATTTAGTCAGTATGTTTGATTAGAATGTGAAGTTAATATTTTTCTTTTAATGAAAGTTGAGACACATCGCCCAAGCATCTGATCAACGTAGAGAAGAATTATTATTGAAAACGTCCCTAATAAAAACCTATGAGAAATATTATACTTTCACTTCATTTGTTATTAAACAGTTATGATAAAGTTTAAACTTCTGAACAGATTCAATTAATTTGATAAAACATGGAACTACATTTAAGCATCAATGTAATTCGAATTGATATTTAATATTTTATTTAAATCACCAGCACGTAAGAAAAACTAAAAAGAAATTTTTATTTACAGATAATTAGTTTAAGAGTATCACTGTTAACATAAAAATCTTAATAATTTATTTATTTCTGTGCTTCTTGTTCAACTACAAAAAAACAACAGACAAAAGAAGAAACGGAAAAACTTTTGCATCTCAAATTCAAAAACATCTGATTACCAGCATAAATAAAATAGAAAAAAGAAAATGCACATGTATATATAAATAAGAAACGATGAGATAGATTAGAAAATCAGATGCAATAAAATAATATCATCTTTTATCTATCTAAACCGACTTTTTTTTTAAAATTACATATTGATTCAACAAAGAGTTGACACAATACGGCCAAATGGGATGCATATAATATATTTCAGATGCAGACATTGAACTCGATTGATAGAAATTACGTTCGCCATGCGGTCGACTCTAAAGAAATAAGTCGAGAACGAGTACGTACGAAGTAGAGTAGATGTATTATTGACCAATGAAAAAATAATTTCTGCCATTTTTACAAAAAAAACGATAAATAGAAAAATAATAAAAATAAAAATTCACGGTTGTTTGGGCACAAATGGTGGTTGATAACTTGTGTCATGTGTTTCTGGTGTATATGTAGACAGTACCAATAATACCCATGCATGTAATAGAATAGCATAAAATAGAACACCCAATCTCACGATTGGATATCGTCTGAGAAATACTCCCAATCGAATACCCAATTTATCCAATTCACTAACAGCTCTCTTTACTTTTTTAGCCAAATCAACATCATTTGGTGATTCTCGTAATAAAGGCATACGATAGCGAATATTTTCAACATTTGAATGTTCATCACCTTCACGTTGATCACTACTCATCTGAATTGTGGTAACATTTCGTTTTTGAGACGAAGCTGTTGATATTTGATCATAATCATTTAATCGAGATTCTAACCGTTCTAATTGTAAATTTAATGATTGTTTATCAGTCTGAAGAGTTTCTAGAATAAAAATTCAATTAATAAAGTGTATAGAATCACAAACAGAAAGATAATGTTGATATTTACTCTTTCAGATAGTCTCTCATGTATGTCGTACCTATAATCGTTTGTTTTTGTATCAAATTTTCTGTAAGTGTTTGCAATCGTTTTTCCAACTCATTATCGTTTAAATGATTTATCGTTTTTGATGTTAATTGTAATCGTACTTTTTCCAAATCTCGTTCACGTTCGGTCAATTGAGTATACATTTGATGTTTTTGTTTATGTAAATCATCTTGTAGTAGATGATAATCTGTTTTTAATTTTTTACAATCTTGTTCTAAAAGTGAATAACGATGTTTTTCATCTTGTAATTGATCTTGAAGTTGTTGAAGTTCAGCATGTGTTTGTTCATTGTAATGTTGTTGTTGAAGTTCATATTCACTCAAATCATGTTTTAAATTATATATAAGTAATTCGCGTTGTTTTAATTCCGATTTGTAAAGGTCATTTTCAATTTTAAGTTCGTCGTAATTAATTTGAGACCAATTTATTTGTGAAGACGATGAGCCGATTGGTGATAAATTACCATTATCAGATAAATCAATATTACTATCATCGGACGATTGTTGTTGATCGGAATGTAGTATCGACTCTGCTAACAGAAAGCAAAAAATTTTGATGAATTTGATGTTAAAATAAGAGTGAGAGAGACTGTGAAAGGACAGAACAGAAAATCGAAATTTACACGTAAAAAAGGAAAGAATACATTTACATTCACTTTTGTTAGTAGCTTACCATCATGTATTCCAGCACGATGTTGTTGTTTTTGTTGAGAAAACTCTTTGAGTTTTGCAATTAGTGTATCTTTTGTTTGCAAAATCCGCTGTGCTTTCTGTTTATAGTCTTGCATATCTAGTTCTAATTGTTGAATCAACACTTTTAATTGTTTATTTTGTTGTTGGATATCTTGAACATGCTGTTTTTCATTTGCCATTTTCTTCTCATTTACTTTTAGTAAATCAAGCAGTTGTTGTTTATCATCTTGAGCTTGTTTTTGAACATCATAATAATCATTTTGTAGTTTATCCATATCAAATTGACGTGTGGATAATTCAAATTCAAGTTGAGATATTTTTAATTGCAAGGAATCAAACGCTTGAGTTTGAACACCTAAATGACAGAGAAAAAGTGAAAAATAACAGAATATTTTATAGAAGAAAAAGAAAATAACTCTTTTTCATTTCTTGCCTGAAGAGTCCGTATGATTTTTTAGAATCCTTTGACACTCTTGTTGCAATTGATCAATTAATTGTTGTTTTTGTTTACATAAATCATCGGATTCTTGCAGACGTATTCTTAATAAAGCAATTTGTGAATCTTTTGTCGATAGTGCTTCTAAATAATCGGATTCTTTTGTTCTTAGATCTCGTAGGAGGGCATCACATTCTGATATTTGTTGTTGATATTGGAGTTGAAGACGTTTGGAATTTTGAAGTTCACTTTCATATGATTGCTTGGTGGCTTTCAACGAGAACATTTCATCATTTAATGATTGTATTAATTCATCTTTGAGATGATTATCATTAGAAGACGCATCTTGTTGTTGAGAGACAGATAACTCCAAGGAGACATCGTGCGCTGAAATTAACTTTTCCTGTGTCATTTCATCTGGAATTGAAGATGTATCTGGTTGTCGTTCTTGATGTAACAGAGAATAATTACTCACAGCTGTTGATTTTAAAGCAGAAAATGATGATGATCTGTTCTAGAAAAAATAAATAAACAGGTTTGAATAAGAATTCCCATTACGTCAAGTTTTGCAGCACTTTTTATTCGCAAAGATACTCCTTAGATATCATAATCAGAAGAGGAAAGAGAATAGTCAGCGTTTCTAGCTAATATTCTACGTACTATATTTGTTTCTGTTTGATTTCTTACATCTTCACTGTTATTCTCTGACATCGTCATTATTGCTGGCGTAAGCGATCGTGGCGTTGAATTGACGGACTTGGAGACTGTTAGAAAGTTATCTTCTTCTTGAAGGTGTTTTAATGATGTACTGGAAAATGAATTTGTTTGCTTTGTATGATTACTTTTCGATTGTTTGTTGCTGTCTTTATTAATGGGTTCCGCACTATTTAAAAATTGCATTAAATCCACTTCTGCATCGCCATCTATACTACTGGGCGATTTTCTCGTAGGATGACGAACTTGTTCTTTCGAGGATTGACGAGATGTGGATAGATTGTGTGAAGACGTTTTCGAAGAGGATGATAGAGAAGTGAACTTTTCTTGTTGCGCTTGTGTGCTAGTGTTTTTAGATGATATATTCTCAGAAGAGGGAATAGAACTCTGTTGTTGTGGTGGTAAATGAAATGCAACATTAGCTTGTTGATCAACTTTATTTAAAATATCTTCGGCTTGTTTCAATATCCAAGACATTTTCGTTTCAGTTATTAATTATAAAACAAGGAGAAAACCGAATTGTTATAATAAATTTTTTTCTTCGACTTGGCAGATCAAGATGTACTACATTGGGACCAAAAGTCAGGAACCGGGCTCCGGCACTGACCCAGTTTTGCGACTTTTAGGTTGATTACAATGATTTGGCCTGATAACTTAATAACCGATGCGACAGATATATTTCTGAACTATAAATCATGGAGTATTCCAATCAACACCCTTTCTATCAGTTATAACATTTATTCATAGATGGTGCTTCGAACTGACATAATTTTAAACGTATTTTGTAGCAAGGATTGAAAACTTTTGAGCTTTTCTTGATGACTACGTCAATAAATTTCGTTCTTTTTACATCACACCGAAGAAGGAAGAGACTGGTACATGCGAGCTGTCGCTAATGTATATTTGTGATGCTCGAGCAAAAAAAAGTATTATTCTAATAAGATCGACATCCGCTGTAGATTATGAAAGCGAAATTTGTGCGGACACTTGAAGTGTCGCGTGCTCTGTTTCTTCAATTTTTCAACGTGGACTTTATTTTCTAAATTCATTTCTTCTTTCATAGGACTTCTCTTCAGACGGAGTAGCTCGGTCTACAGGCACAGGATCACTAAGTTTCCAGAAAGAAAAAAAGAAACGAAGGATATTAGTTTAAAGCTGTTGAAACAAATTTGCTTTTTTAAATGTGCTTTCCGCATGTGTCTAATCATCTTTAAAATGTTGTAGAAATTTAAACATATTTTTAAAAAAATTCATTTTAATAGATTCATAAAAAAAATGTAATTAAATGAATCTAATAGTTTAAATATGTGTAAATACATCTATTTTGAAAATTGTATTCAAACGTATTTGTTTAAAACCCAATTCAAACTTCTTTGACGTTCTGAAGACATGTAAACACATTTGTAAAAAATGCATTTAAACACATTTTGCTTTCTACTTACACTTGACTTGAGTGATTTTATTATTAAAACCTATGTGAATATATTTTACAATCAAGATATTTGATTAAATTTTCAGTGGAAAATACATTTAAATGGCTGTCGTATTCGAAATCTCTTAAAAAATAAATCATTTCAGAAGTTTTTTATTCTAAAAGTTGCTTAAATGTATTTAGTAATAAAGAGATTTGAATAGATTTCATTAGGTTCAACAGGCTAAAAATGCATTCAAACGGATTAATAAAAACAATTCATTTTAATATATTTATTGTAAAAATGTATGTGAAGAGATTTAGAATATGACAGACACTTAGATACATACCTAAAATATGTCAGATAAACAGATTTCTTTTTAATATGAATTTAGATGAGTTTTTTAAAAACATTTCTCCAAATGTCTTGGATATTCCAAATGTTTATAAACATGTTAGAAAACCAATAAAAAAAAGGCACATTTCTTTAAACATTGCCACAATAGGATGATGTCACTCATGCATGGTAGAGCTTCTTGGGATTAGAGGAATGTGCGCGTCGATTATTATGTCTGCTGGAGCCAAAATTAACAGAAGCTGAAGTCTCCTGACTCTGCAGCCGATGGTGCCATTCGTAAATATCCAGATACAGCGATGGCGAAGCGAGTTGAATTTTCTCGGGAAAACTGCTGAACGTAATATTAAAATATTTTTCTGGTATTTATGCATAGATTTCTACTTTTATCTACTTTGACATACTGACATTAAAAGTCAGTATGAGTAGGTAGGAATGAATCGAGGTTTAAACTCTTGTCCTTCTATATTTATCCAGAGAAATGTGTGGAGAATATTTATTAGGAGAAAATATGCAAGAATTTTTGTTCTTTCCTTCCTGGTATTGACTAATTAGTACTAATTAACGTTAATTTAGCCTACTCTACTAGCATAAAGTCTTATTTGTAAAATAGCAACGCAACGAAAAGCAATGCCTCATCTGACAGAGAATTTCATGGGCTACAATATGGACTACCTTAAACATTTTAGAATTCGTTTTTGGTCGCTCGGTAAGTCTGGTAAGTCGAAAATTTAACAATATTGTTTAAGTAATTAATTTTTCTCAGCCAAATAATTTCATTAAGCCGAAAAAACTTCCGAACATACACTTCGAAGTGTCCTCTACAAACCGGGAAGGCTTGAAGAAAAAATTCAAAACTTGAAAATATCGCTGCTTTTTGACTCACCGAAGATTTTTTTACCTAACCTTACGGCTAGTTTCGCCCGAACCAAGCATTTTGGAGCAAAACTCTGAGTGCAAAAGTTGTTTAGAATCGAATTTTGGAGTCCCTGACGAGAGCTTTCTTTAAAATTTTCTGTTTCTGACTTTTAAATTAAATTTTAGGTTTTTAAAATTTTAAAATTTCGTATTTTTTAATTTAAAACTCAAAAACAAAAAATTTTAAAAAAGCTCTCGTCAGGGACTCCAAAATTCAATTCTGAACAACTTTTGCACTCAGAATTTTGCTTCGAAATGCTTGCTTCGAGCCAAACTAGCCGTAAGGTGAGATGAAAAATACTTTATCGAGTATCTCAGTTGAGAAAAGAATATTTCTGCAAAAATATTCATTTCTCAACTGAGGTACAATTTTAAGACATACGTTAAATCGTGCAAATAGTGCACTAAGGTCTATTATTCAATAGTTATATAAGTGTGAAACAGTGACAAGATGGATTTACAAAAAAAATGATTTTGTTCGAAAAGGAACTCGTTTTACACAAAACTCGTTATTCCGACATAAGCACCGATGATGACGTCGACGGCAATGAATAAGAACTGATTTTGTTATTACTTTTTTTTGCATACATGTGATTACTTGATAATAAGTTAATACATGATGATATTTGACCATGTAATATGGGAATAATTCCTCGGATAGTCGATAGAGAAGTATACTCTCTCTCATTGAAAAGACAAGAATTGTTATCTCTATACGACACCGTAGGAATGAATGTAGGAAGAATTGTTATGCTCAGTTGAGAATTGTTTGCTCAGTTGAGACGTTACTTTGTATATTGGAAAATGATAATGAGTAGATTGACAAGAAACCTCGTAAAAGTCCTGAATCGTCATTTCGCTTGTTGTTCCTTTTTCATGCTTTATTTTGTAAAACTTTGGAGTCATCTTGCCATTCTACGGTAAATATTAAAAAAACAGGCCGACTTTTCTCTTCCAGTTTCATACGCACAAAAAATATATATATTTCAGGTACTTGTCCTTCATACTAAGACCGAAAAATAGAAATAGGTGCATTGTAGGCAGTTCGAAAATAAAATACCTTGCACATTTAGGTATTTAGGGATTATTAATAGTGCCGCTGTGAAAACATTACAATATATTAGACTAATATACTTATTTTGAATGAAATATATTTCAGAATATAGGCAATAATGGTAAAGTGTGAGCTAATTTGTTTATTGGGTAATGATGGCTGTGGTAAATCGAGTATTTGCGAATTGATCAACTCAAAAACCGCTAATAATAACAATACTATTGTTGCTCTCGAACGCAGTAATAAACTAGGTGTAGAATATGGAATTGATCTAAGTATTGTCGATAAATTGACATTAGAATATACTTTTGATGAAAAAAATTTCAATAAAATCACGTTGCCTGATCAAACAGTCAATGAAGAACAAATTTATTGGATTATGTTAGATTGTGACGTTGATACAATTCTAAAACGAATTCAATCACGACCCACAAGTGACATATGGGAAACACGAAAAGCTTTAAGCTATTTTCAACAACGCTTTCGTAACTTGAGTGCTCATTTTGGAATACCATATATTGATACCACACAACGAACACTAGAACAGGTTTGTGATGAAGTACTTAATGTTGTTACAAAATGTTCAGAGTATTACCGACAATACCGTCAAATGGGTAGTCAAATATTAAATTATGATTTGATTCAACAATGCGATGTTGAAAATAAGCTTTATGGAATGGTGAATGAGTATGATTTTGACAAAATAACGAACTTACCAGAATATACAAAGGAATTTGATGATGTTGATAAGCGTAAAGTATATATAAGATGGTATGTGAACAATAATCCATTGGAGATTGATCAAAAAAGAAATATTGTTAAAATCGGAGACTATGAATTACCAGCAACACAAACAATACTCAAACTTGTTACTGAAGGTGAATCAAAAAAAGTTTACGAGGATATCAGTTGTAATCCATACACAAAAAATTTGGCATTCATCGTTTTAAAATCCACCATTTATTCGCATTCAATGCAAGCCACTGGAGAAATCAGCAATTTAAGTAAGATTTTGCACATGATATTATTAACTTATAGAGATAGATGACTCAGCTTATAAGAGGTATATTTGCAGACAAGCTGAACGAAAATTTTCCTTAAAAATTATTTAAAGATAAATAATTTAAAAAAGAAAGCGTTGGAAAAGTCAAAAACGTTTTATTTTGTTTAGCAACGTTTACTCTATACAATGAAACTGTTTAATCGTTTAGAAAAAAAATTGTCTTTACATGAGCATCGTATGTATGCCCGTTTAAAATATTTCAGGTTCAGTTCGTGCATGTGGTTCACAACTATTTTTGGAAATGATGTGGCGTAATGGTTTGAAACATTCTTATCGTGCAATTAATTCCAAAGGTATCATAGTGAGTGATTTTATTCGGGAAATACCACCAACAGAAGTTGTTGTTAAACGATACTGTGAAGGTACTGATAAACATTCGTTTTATGATATTTTGGAAAATGAACAAATTGTTTCACCAAATAACAATCATGAATATTTATCTGGTCCTTATGTTAGATTTGATTGGAGAAATCCCAATCATGTATCACCAAATACAAAAAAATGTTTAAATAAAAATTTATATTATTATGTATATGAACAAGCAATTGGTAAAGAAATATTTTTCAATAAAATATTGACAAATAAACACTATGCTACACCTGTAAGTAAATCTATTAACTGTAAAACATCGTACTACATCTTTTTCACTAAAGGTTGGTGATAAGAATATTACTGAAGATTTATTAACTCATGTAATTAATATTAAACGTACAAAATCGTCCGTATTAAAAATGTTTATGGTTATTCAGTCATATTTTTCTCGTGTTAATTTGGTAATTAAAGATGTTTGTTTTATGCTTGATACAAATGGTGAACGATTTTGGAGTGAAATAAATCAAGATTGTATGAGAATAACGGCAATGGATAATAATCAAAATAAATTTGATAAAGATATATGGCGAGCAGGTGGATTAGCATCACGTGAACAAATCATGGAAAAATGGAAAGATTTTAATAAGATATTTATCGATTATTTTATGAAAAATAAATTTCATGAAACAGAACTTTTAAATTATAATACTTATTTTTATACTCAAGAAATTGATCAGTTATTAACAAATAACAAATTAAAAATTCCTCGTAATTTACAGGAAATATGGTTAGAGATACGTGGTAAAAATTTAAGACGTGTTATTGTGACAATGGATATGTATAATGGACAACCAGTATTAGTTAAAAGTTCACAAGTATGTGAAGTACACAGTGATGGAGATTATCGACAAGCAATGGAAAAAATTAGTATTTTTCCGGACATACTAATTGTTGATTTAAACGGTGCTTTTGGTGAAACTAATACAAAGAATCGTCAGATAATCAAAGAATTAGCACCTAAATATTATGTTCATACGGGAGGTGGTTTACGATCATTAGCCGATATTGAAGATGTACTGAAATCAAGTGTTCGCCGATGTGCTGTAGCTAGTGCTGATGATGCATTAATTATGAAAATACCAAAAGATCGTTTAATTGTAGAAATAAGTGTTAATGAACAAAATGAAGTACTAATTCATGGTCGCAAGACAAATACCCACATGAATATAATTACAAGGATCAATGAGCTTATTCAAATCGGTGTCAATGTTATCAGTATTACATTTGTTCAAACAGAAGGGCATTTGTCAGGAATACCTCGAAATCAAATACGAGACCTTCTTTTACAAATTCCTCACAATATTTTCAAAATATATATTGCTGGTGGCATAAGTACATTGGATGATTTAGAATATTTATGGTCATTTGCTCGTGTTATCCCTCAACTTGGATCGGCCATTTGGAAAAACAACTTGACAATTGGCAGTATTTATACTAGTATGATCAATTTTACTGACAATGGATTAGTGTCAGCTATTATTCAAGATTTAAATGGACCAGTCAAAGGTTTGTGTTATATGAATCGTGAATCTATTGAACAAACATGCGAAAAAAGAAAATTATATCGATATTCGAGAAAATTGGGAAGAGTCATATTGAAAGGTGAAACATCTGGTGATGTTCAACATATAATTAAAATTAGTTTAGATTGTGATTCGGATGCAATGTTGATAACAGTTGATTCAGATAAACCATTTTGTCATACAGGTATAGAATATTCTGATATTTATTAGATAAAATTGTAGCCGTTATTATTTTCCTCTGATTCAGGTAATCATAGTTGTTTTAGTTTACAAACAAGTGTTAAAGCAAATTTAGCCACATTGGCTCATCATATTAAATCGCAAATAAACAAAGATACCTATACAGGGAGAATGCAAAGAAATCCACAATTGGCTCTTGCTAAAGTAATGGAAGAGTTTTGGGAGGTAGTGACAGGTCACCAGGATACGCAAGTATCAGAATGTAGTGATTTATTTGTTCATCTTCTCATGTATTTGAATGGAATTGGTATAACGACTGAAGACATTTTCAATGAACTGAATGCGCGACGATGGGCACCTAAAGGATTAATTGAACAAAATAAAATACCTCATGAAACATCTAATGAAATTATACTTGGAATAACCGTCTCTAAATATACCGATAAAACAGATCGATTTGCCGAAAATCAGTTGGGAATTAAAATAGTTCGACATTTGGGTAGAAATATGTTGGTTGAAGGACAAATTGTTGATCGTGATAAATTTTGTAAATATTTCGTTAATGATGAAAATATCAAATTATCACTAGTTACAAGTAGACCAAAAGACATGGCATGGTTATTGGCATCAAGACGTGTGACACATGTTATCACGTTCGAAACTGTGATTAAAAATTTTCCAAAAGTTTATACTATTATTCATGAAACTGTTGATCCAACTCACTGTCTTGCTCTGATATGTCGTAAAGGTGCGTGTATAGAACCTCAAAAATGGACACATGAGAATAAACCATTGATTGCTGCTGAACATGTTTGTCATGTAACAAGATTTTTTGAGCAAATGAATATAAAACCTCAAACATACCATTTAGATAGAATTATTGGATCATCTGAAGGATTTTTGATCAATACGAACAAATATTTACTATCTGATGCTATTGTGGAAAGTGGAAAAACTCTTGAAGAAAATGATTTAGAAATATGGAAAGTTATAATACCAAAAGGAGAATTACACATTGGACTTTATGGACACTATAATTAAAGTTTCGAGATGTTGTAAAATTATCATCAATAAAAATATTACGTATAACTTTTGATTAAAAACTAAGTTTTGAATAAATAATCTCAAGATTCTTTGTCAAAATTGGTATGACGTCGGAAAGTACGATTAGTGATCACACAACAAGGCTGAAATATATACTTTCTCAATTTAGTCCAATTGAGGAAGATATATGGTTGAAAGGATAAAATAACTTTAGAGTCCGGAAAAATACAGAAATAGAACCCGTATACAAATGTTTTTTATAAAGATATATGAAATAAGACTGATTTTACTGCATAGAAAATAAATCTTAGAAGTCAGCTCAGAATATTTTCTAAAATAACAAAAATAAACAGTAAAAATTCTCGAAAGTAGTCATAGAGAACGACAAGGTGATCTGTGAGATCTCAACTGTATCAAAGTTTTACCATCAAAAAAAGAAATCAGTACCATTAGACAACTTTTTCTTCATGTCATTACTAATTAAGCTTTTAATTTCATTATGTTTATAATTTTAATGCAAACAAATACATTGAAAAACAGCACTGTTAATTTTATGTCTTCTACTAGTTAAAAATATTCTCTTTTTCGTCAAATTTTACATCAAATGGTAGAAAAGAGTCCGCTGAACAACTCTCTCATTTAGAGTAGACTAGAAAATTGCTACTAGAAGTTTTCCATGTGTTTTACATGCAGTGATCAGAATTACCCCAAATGAGATTTTTTCAAAAAATAACTGTGCTTTTTTCTACGTAACTTCTCATAATTAATTAAGGAAAGATGATCTTAACTTGCCAAACACTTGGTTGGAAAGTGCTCACAATTCTCTACAATTTTTAATTAGAAAAGTGAACGTTCACTGTTAAGCAAAAGTTGATCTACTTTGTGCCTATTGTTTCGGTAGTCTTGATTAGAATTATTCCAACTGGGATAACTCCTATCAATTTAACCGTTGACATGATGCTAGAAAACTCATCAAACTAATTAACCTTAATGAGTTTTGAGAAGATTTTTGTGTCGATGGATAGCTAATGAGACTCATGTCTATCAGTAGTTTTTTCTGTTCTGAAATAGCTTTATGGTATCAAAAATACTAAAACAATTTCAAGCACTGATTCGAATCAAGCACCACAACTTCCCCAAGTTACTCTAAATAAATAAAATTATATTTTGTCGTTCTCTCCATCACCGTTGTTGTTTTCCATATATTTTCATACTCACACACCATTTGTATTGAAAAAAATAAAAAAATTTTCAAGTGCATTTGAACTTAAGATTTAAAGGAACAACTTTGGTACTGTCTGAATGTTACAAAGCTTGCGCTATAGAATGCAGTATAGTATAGTCAGAAAGATAAAAATATCTGAGAATAATACTTAACAAGTCTAGAAAAATTTTCAAGATCTCATCAAGATGTAATGGAATAGCGAAAATCTGTCAAGATTCTGACTTATCAATTAGTTCGTCAGAAACAGTGACAAATTTTGATCAAGTTTTTTCAAAACAGATTCTGTAACAAAAATTGTCGACAATCTTGTACTATAAGTTTATCTGCAGATTTTATCAAATGTCCAAAAATCTGCATCTTGACGCTGTCAGTCTAGCAGAAACTTGAGAATTCTTTTAAATATTAATCAGAATCTTAGTTCAAGATTTTTTACGCAGGTTGCTGGTGTTAAAGCTTCTGGTTACGTCCTACACGTGACATCTTATCTCAACGAACGGAACAAGTTAAAATACCATATCACAGGATCGAAAAATTTTAAAAGCTTGTTCGGTCAAAACCGATTGCAGATTCATCCTTTCTCTCCATGGTTGATTATATGTTACGCAATAACTTTTGGATCGTGGTACTTTAGAAAAAAATTTTCTATGGTCTTGCTCAAAATTTTTTCAAAAGTTATCGTATGGGACCAAAGGCAAAACGATGTCGAAAATTTTTTCTGAAGTACCCCGATCCAGAAGTTATCGCGTATCACATAATCAACCATGGAGAAGACGAATCCGCTATCGGTTTTCATCGAACAAGCTTTTAAAATTTTTCGATCGGGTAATATGATTGTTTCTGTTGAAAACATCTAATATACAGACTGAGATAGATGGCGTTCTGGACTCATAGAATGCCGGCTTCATCGGTTTCCAACAGTGCTCTCTGGCGCATAACTATTTTACTTTCACTCTGCACTAAGATTTGTCAATGTCTAGCGCTGCTAGCAAGCAGTCAAAAACAAGAAAAAGTAAGTAAAAAAGGTCCTAGCCGAAAAAGAGAAGACAAATCTTATGAACAAACAAACAGATAAATAAATTAATATATGAAGGAAAACTTTTTCTTATGTTACTAAATTATTCAGAAATTGGCAAAGCTTTTCTAAAAAAAGGCGGTACCAAGACATCTCTTCTAGCGAAATATCTTACTGTTTCGTAGTACACTAGTGACTTTTTTGTCACATTTCATAAGTTAGATGATCGATACAACACATTGAACAATTCAAAGTAGGACGCTTGCAGTTGCCTCATTAATCTTCTTCAACAGAGTACCCACTAGTATTTAGTAGATTCTCATAAAAGTTGTCTATAAAAACACTAATGTGATACAAAAAAGAACGCTATTCTCTTTTTGCAAAAAATAGCACATTTATAACGAAGAATATACTGCGATAAATCACGCAAGGTTGCGTGATTCTTAGGATAGAAAATCGGAGCTTTTTTTCTGAAAATTACAGTTACTAACGATAAGTCAAACACATCTAGGAGTATTAGTTTGGAAAATCTTTCCTCTATATTTGGCACATATGTACTAGGGTGCAGTGAGTATAAAATCTATCAGAATTGCTTCTAACAGGACACATTGGAATGTTTTTAGATGAATTTATTTCTTCACATAACTTTATTCAAAGAATGTTATACAAGAAATACTAAACCTTGTGACAGAAAAATTTGAAACAAAGTGTAGTTGATGATGCAGAATTAAATATAGTCTAATTTGAATTAGAACAACAATATAATTTATTCGAACAAAAACGTCTACATAGAGGAAAAAATGTTACTTTTTTTGAGATAGATGATGAAGAAACGAATAGTTATAGCAATTGCAAGATATGATCAATTTGTCGAGAAACATCGGCAGTTAGCTACAAAAAAAATCATCTACAAAGCGAAAAATTTGTATCATCATATCAATTAGCTTTAACCACATGGAAAACAGATATCAGTAGTCGTAATGTGTTAGTTAATTCGATCTGTCATAGTGAAGAACAACAAATGAATATTGAACCATTAAATAATTTCAGATCTGTTTCAAAAATCATAATTAATAGTCAACAAATCGATGCCGTATTTAAGTGAAGATTGGATAAATACTGGAAAGATGGAAGCTCTATACATTATCGTTAATAATATTTATTGTTTAAATAAGTTTATTTTGTATAAATTACTTTTTTGTGTTTGTATAAGAGAGAAGTGAAAACGAAACATCTGTTTTTTCCTGTTTCAAATTTCTCTCCATATAATTTATGCATCCACAGCACCTACAACTTAAAGTATTAGAGTGGTTTCAAAGTCGGTTTTGATTATTTCATTCTATCGATTTTTTTATAGATTATTTATTTAAGTACAATGTCATCTGGAACAGTTGTTGTTGATCTACTACCTTCGAATATTTCTCGTGCATTTGGAAACGAAATTACGTATAATGAAAGTCTGGACAGTGTTTTAAGATTTAATCAACGTCTATTGAGAGAACGTCGTCTTCGACTTCGTTTACCATTTATTGATCAACAAACAAAAATTGTTCAAGCTCCAAATGTTAATTTATGGAAACAAGAAAGTGATCGTCTTGTACCAGACAGATGTGATCAAATTACATGTTATTCAGGCCTCAGATGGAAAAAGAAGAAGAGTCTAAATGGATTACCAATGTGGATGAGCAGTGCATTGTGTGGGAGCAATAAAGATCAATCATTGAATTCTATGACAGGAGGCACAGATGGTTTAGTAACACCATTACAACAACAATTAGATGGAGATCCACGAGTGGTTATAAAAGCAGGAGATTTAGGTGTTATAAATATACGTGAATACTTCAGAAGTATTCATAATAAACTAATCACTTTATGATTGTTTTCTCTCTATATGTTTTAGGTATATCTGACTCGGACGTTCATATCATAAGTACAATTGAGAATCCGGCAGCTGTTGTTCGATACATGGATGAACAAATGGCAGTTCAAGCTCATCAACAATATTCACAATCTCCAAGAGGTACCAATTCATATAATGATCATCAAAATTTTATGATTGATGATTGTGACGAACCAGATATGATGGAAATAAATGATTATGGAGATGATCTATCAACATCACTCAATCAATCAATACAATCAGCGACATCCTCTGTCTGTGGTGGCGTACAATCACCTTTAGCACCTCCATCGTCGATTTCACCTGGGTTACAAATTGTACAGCATGGAGTGGGAATTCGACGGCAACGAGGAACAGGTGAGAACCAAAAGTGATCGTATCTTCGTGTAAAGTGTGAGAAACATCGCGATAAAGAATTCTGAATAGCTAACTGATTCTCTTCAGTTAGATTAACTATATTTTTTTCGTTATAGGAAATAAGCGTGGAGTTTTAGGTCCTAGACGTGGTTCTAGTAACGGAATTGGCAGTGGCCGTCGTCAACAGTATACCATAGCAGAATTACCCTTTGTGTGTAAATTTTGTCCGGCACGGTACAAAACAAAACCTGGTCTACAATATCATTTGGCTAAACATCGTGAAACAAGTAAACAACAAGGAGGAACAGGAGATACACCACCATCAACTCCACACTCAAATCAATCCTCTCCAAATGTTGGTCCATCGATTATGAAACAAAAATATTCCACAACACAAGAACAAATAACGAATGGAAATGGATCCGGTGGAAGTCAGACTGGAGGATTATGGAATCAGAATATGCAACAGTCACCAACACAAAATCCAAATTCATCGTCTAATAATGGTATGTAGCATGCAGTAAAACTTGTAATTACTCAGTGGCAATATAGGTTGAAAGGTCCTGTCTGTTTTTTATTAAGGCGGTCATCATTCTCCACTTTCATCTTCGTCGTATCATCCATCTTACATAAATCCATCAGCATCAATGCCGTTAACTGTGGCTGCTCTATCTGGCTCACATCCGTTACATCATCCCGGTCATCCATCTTATCATCCACAACAAATGTATATGCAGCAACAACAATACCAACCGCGAGGTTATGAAATGCACCCTCATCACAATCCACATCCTGCAATGCCTCATCCTTCGATAATACAGCATCATCAACATCATCAACAACAACAACAAATCATGACTCGTCTTCCGGCTCCCGAGCCCGTTCCTCTACCATTTCAACAATCACAAGAATTATCTGGTAATCAATGTGATTTTTGTCTTCGGGATGAATATGAAAATAAAAAGACTCATAAAGCGGAGGGATTAATCACATGTAAAGATTGTTCTCGAAGTGCCCACCCAACATGTCTAAATTTTAATCCAAATATGTTATTAAGTGTTAAAAAGTATAGTTGGCAATGCATGGAATGTAAAACGTGTTCCATATGTGGCAATTCAGAAAATGATTCACAACTCCTATTTTGTGATGACTGTGATCGGTATGTATCGGATTGACTGCTTTTTTATAGTTTGATCTATTTTACATTTATTCTCTTGATAGTTATGTTCCTACTGCTTTTATAATATCGATCGGCAAGTGATCGACTGCGATTAGTGAGAATTGATACTTACTCATAAGAAACATGGGTGATCTAAAATTTGAATTTTTAACTCATATTATCTAGTCAAAAGACTACTCAGAGTGGCTGGATAAAAACGAGTCAATAAAAGGATGATGCACTGTAGAGAATTATACTTTTCTATCTTTATTTACTAGTTATGTGTTCAATTCGTTTGAATATTGTATTGATTGTTTTTGTTTCTTGTTCTAGTGGTTATCATTTTTATTGCCTACAACCACCAATATCAAAAGCACCTGACGGTGATTGGCGATGTAAACTATGTATTATACAATTCGGGGAGTTGTAGAAGAATGAACTTTTCTAAAATGCAGTTGTTTTTGTATAATTTTTGATCTGATCTTTATTGTTGTCTTTATGTAAATAGTATTGTGTGATGTTTTTATATGTTTGTATTTTGTCTTTGCTTTTATCTTTCTGGCTTTATTCATCACTCATGCTACGATTAATAATAAATAATCTACAGTCTAGCCGTATGTAATATTGTTGTAGCTGAAAACCTATGGTAAACTATGAATAATTGACATCAATATCAAATAAAATAAAATAAAATATCAATGACAGATAAAAGGCATAAGAGTCAACAAAAAAAATAAGATCCAAAACTTAAAACTAGTTTATGTCGAAGAATTATTACTTTTATCGTTGTTGTTGCGTTGGCTCAAGCGCGAATTTTTATTCGATGAATACCTACGAAGAAATCTACACAAAAGTCTGTCATTATTTCTGGTCTATCCGATAAATTGATGTTTCTAGGTGAATTTTACTTCCAAATCTAGCTTAGCCATTTATAAAAATGTTACACACTTATCCTATATAATAGAGTGATAGCAATATCTTTAACACATTGGTGGCGATGTAGATCACCAGTAGCCTACAGTATCGATCAAAAGCATCCTCCCCCCGTAACTCAAGAACCATGATAGCGAAGGACTTTTAATTTTGTGTAGATATAGCACTCACTGAATGCTGATCACCCAGCAAGTTTAAACCTCTTTTACTGGATGATTCATGATATATAAACGTTTCATTTTCCCCCCATAAAATGCTATTAACTCTTGATTCAACAGAGATGAACACTTTTTCTTTTTACTAAAATGTAGTCCTGACTCTCCTCTATCTACAATATGAATTTTCTTTGCTGGATCCTAATGGTTATTGAAAGACAGTTCTTTCACGAGTGGGAATCACTTTTGAAATACGAGATTCTTTCTGAAAAAAATTCATAACTCAGCCTAGGAACACCATTTTGAAACATATGGGGGGACACGAACCTGAGGAACTAAGGGTCGACGCATACACATACATTATGAATATTACACGGTACTCTAGAACATTGAATTCCGAGGCGAAAAACTAACGGAGCCCCTCCCTTATTATTCTCTCCGAAAAGGGACAAAATTAAATGTACGTATGTATGTAGCGATTGTAAGTAAAAATCCTAGAAAGTCTTGACTATTATTTTGTATAATAATCAAGTATACCGTGACCCACCAGTGGGTCACATCACTGCCAATGAGTTAAGATCATAAATATTTACGGTTCCATCAAACAAGCCAACAGCTAATAAAGATAGTTATTTACTTGAAAACACCACAGTTGTAACACTAGCCGTTGTGTGATAAAATAATTTCGAAAACTAAGAATATTTGGTTAAAAACTGATCTAGCATTGAAGTTCAAGACCACAAAGTCGCCTGACATAATTGCACCAGTTGCCTGTCGTTTAATAGACAGTGAACAATAGCCAATTCTTTTAATGTCATATTTTCGCAGAGTAATTGGGAAAGACCGTCTATTCCATTGTCCGATATTCGTACGTCTTTCACACAAAGGACATTAAGCGTGCGATTCAAACAAAGTTGGGTACTAACTGAAACGACGTAAGGACATCGATTCAGTTCGAGTCCCTTTACAATCTTATTTCCAGGTAACGCTCTAACAGCGTCTGTTGCTTCAGATTCCGTTAGAGTATCATCAAACTAAATGGTTTTTCCACTTTTATTGGCACAAATGTTTAGCGTTAGTTTCTCATTTTTATTCAACAAAGATTTCACCAACAGTTCACCGCTCATTTTCTTTTCAAGCCCGGCGTTTATCTGATATCGAACGATCAAATGCTTACTTGTTGCTAACCGAGCGTCCAACTTTTCCACAATTTTTTTATGGCTTTCACTTGGTCCGATAGCATGCCCAACTATCACATTGCAAAGTTCAACATTTCTCACTCGTCTCGGATCGTCAACTTCCAGCAGTTGGTCTAGATGAGACTCTCACAGTTTGTCTTCCTTGAGGGTCAACGTATCAATTCTCAAACCGTTATTGATCACTGTTAACATCTTGTGCAGCTGTTTAATCGCTTCTCCCTCGACGGTTGCGGAACCTTTATCTCTATGAAAGTGACCGCCATACGATTCAAATTCCCGAGTAAGATCGTTTAACAGTTAACTCTCATACTGTGTGTGAATAATCGAAAGACATTTTAGAGTATCTGGTGCAATCTTAAAGTGAAAATAATATTCCTAGGCTGAGTTATGAATTTTTTTGGAAAAGGATCTCAAACTTTAGAAGTGAGACCCTAAAAAATACAGCTATTTTACCTCGATCGTAAAATAGCTGTATTTCAATAACTATTAAGAGCAAACACTTCAGATTCATATCATAGATAGAGGAGAGGCAGTGCTGCATTTTGATAAAAAGGAAAAGCTTTCACCCTCTCTTGGATCATGAGTTCCTAGCATTTTACGGAAAAGAAATGAAACGCTTACATCTCACGAACCGTCTAGTAGAAGAGGCCCAAACTTGATGGGTGATCAGCATTCGGTAAGAGCTATGACCACACAAATTTAAAAGTCCCTGGCTATCATAGTCGAGCAATGGTACTCAAAAGGCTAGAATAGAATTACGAAAACGTTTGTGCATTTACTGAAAAAGAATGATTTTGCTGTTTTCGAAAAAAAGACCAAGAAATTAATAAAAAGTTAATTCAGACAGTGATGAAATGTTCAGTATAGTAAGACTATAAATAAGGGTAATCAGATTTTTACTAAACTTATGGTCATATTCTTTTTTATTTTGTCCATTATTATAAGGGCTATTCACACCGTTTTGTTAAGGACAGTATTACATTTTTTGCAGTATATAAACCAGTATATAAAGGTCGAATATCCAGTGCATTATTTCTTGTATTATAATATATACTGACTCTTATTTATCCAATTTTTTCTCAAATATAAATACGTTGTTAAACAGAAAACAAATCGTTGTTAGTCTAGTTATACAAAAATACACATAGTACAAAAAAGTACAGTAAAAAAGAAGCAGCTAATTTCTAGAAAGTACAGTTATTATTCACAAATATTCAAATCACTATAATGGAAATGAGTGAGAGAGAGAGAGAGAGAGAGAGAGAGAGAGAATGCGAGCGAGCAAGAAAGATTAAAGATCACAAAATTTATCTAGCTTCCACCAGGTTATACTGATGCAAGAATATTAGCTGTATTACTCTCTGTTGTTTCTGCTGTTTTTTGTTTTGAATTAACTGATTTATTATTTTTCTTTGTTATTTTTGTTTTAGTTGTTTCTTCTTCTTCTATATCATTTGGTATTGCTGGATATATCTGCTCTTGTACTTTTTTATCTGATTTTTTTGTCATTATTGGACTGCCAATAATTGATGGTTCTTCGACAATGGTCAACTGTTTTTTAATTGTTGATGTTTTTGTAATTGACGTACTCAAATCATCATGTGTATTAATTTGATCAATAACTCCATAACATTGTGCCCAAAACATGAGATCATCAAATGAATTTTGTTTTGTTTGTATATGATGAGCTAAATTGGTATATATTTTATCTAAATCGGCTTGTTCGTCAATTTTAATTGCTTGACAAAAATCGGATAATGTATCCTTGATAAGATCAAGACGATGTTCTTCTTCTTTTTGACATTCATAAAATATGGCTTTTGCTTTATGACGATATGTTTTTTTTGCTTGCTGATGTTTATCTTCAAATAACGATATTTGATCATTGATTTTTTTAACATTATCACGTCGTTTTGTTTGTGTTTCAGTTGCACGTGTTCGTACTTTATCAGTGGTTTGAAAATTACTAAATACAATTTCACATGCACTATCTGCTTTTCTTAATTCATCTTGAGCTTTTTTCAACTCATTTTTAAAATCATCTAATTTTGTTTTACATTCATTTAATATTTGATAAGCTTCTTTAAATTGTTTTTTAAATTCTTTTGTACGGCGATGTTGATGTAGTCCAATACGTGATGAAATATATGTATCATTAACAATTTGTTTATATTTATTAATAACTTGTTGAATATTTTGAATACGTCGATCTTCGATGGTAGCTAGTTCTTTTGCTATTTTTATGGTATTTAATTGAGCACGTTTTGTCGTATTATATGAACATAAAGTATTTTGATGTTGAATACGTTTGGTCCAATTCTCATAATAGGATGTTAAACCACGAGAAAATTGACGATATACATCACAATAATCCTCCATCATACAAATAAAATCTTGTCCCGTTATATAACCTAAAATAGAAATAATTTTGTTAAGTAAAAAGCAGAGTATTATGTTCTCTACAAGGTTCTTATTCTATATTGTCCAAGGATCTAGAATGACTGTAAATAAAACAGAAGCCTATTATGTACACAACCCTAGTGGAACTTCTTGTATTCAAGATCTTGGCTTAAGAAATGGTACAAGATCTTGAAAAATCTGGGCTTACTCCACTCAAGATCTTGAGTGACAAAATTTTCTTTATATTTTGTTTTTATTTATGACAGTTATAGCCACCGAATTTACGATCATATAGAGGCATAGATTCTTCCTTAAACAACTATGGTCAAGAAGGAAAAAAATTCGAAATTATTCTAAGTGTGAAAATATTTGCACTTATATTTACACAAGAGTGTAGAACAAAACAATGAGTCAAGAATTTCCAAGATCAATTCCAAGATACCAAAGATCATTTCCAAGATACCAAGGTCTTGCATCAAGATCTTACTGAAAAAATTCAAAAAGTCAAGATCTTGTTTACAAGAAGTTCCAGTATGGAATACAGCTGTTTTAACAATAGTAGACTATTTATAAAATAAGATTATATATGGCGAGAGCTATTAGACCAAGGTTTAATTATTTTTAAGATACGGTGTAGAAGAGACAAGGTTAAATATATTAAACGCCATTTTTTTTGTATTTAAAGCAAAACAGCTGTGTTTTCTTTTTCCCAAGTGAATAGTTTGTTTCTCATTCCTAACAGGAGGCCTGAAAATGTTGATGCGCTTTTCTCCGTGTTATTTATATTTTTTTCCCTCGGATTTCATGTGAACGATGCGATGATTGTAGTCCATTTCAAATCTTTCATTTAACATGGGATTTCTTTTCGTGTAGTATACATCGATGCTTTAAAAAAAAGGTGTTCAAAATGTGCCCCAGCGAATAAGATAAAATAAAAAAAAGATGTGTTTGTTTCTCTTTGGTTGTTTGATTACATCTTGTACCGTAACAAATATATCGTTATGGTAGTCAAAATGTCTACTTTTATATGATACTTAAATAATAATATATTTGAGTCTATAGTAAAGAGAGTCATTTTTGAGTAATCAAAAATTATTGAATTTTTATTTTTCATACAACTGAGTAACACTAATCGTACTTTTTACTAAATAAAAAACTATTTGATCTGATAAAGTTAAATTAAGTCTTTAATTTGATATGAAATGGGTCAACACAGAATCATACGTCGCAAAGAAAAACGCGTCCATTTATTCGCTCACTGGAAAATGTTCACAGAAAACATGTCTGCTTGAATTCTAGACGTAAAAATAGAGTACAAAAAATTATTCTCCTTTCACAAAAAGGTATACCAATATGTAATGAAAAAAGTGTTTACTTTCGAACGTCGAGTATCCTTCATAAATTAAACAACGTACTGTACGTTTGAATAGCGACATCCAAACATTTTGCTTAAATTTTTTACAGATATACAGACAGTCAGAGGTGGTCCGAGTGGGGGGGGGGGGGGGGGGGGGGGGGGGGGAAAATGCCCCCCCCCCCCAGATTTATTAAAATTATTTTTTTGCACCAAAAAAAAAAAAAAATTATTTAAATGTTATATATAATTTT